TATTTTTTAAAAATAAATATATAAATATATTTTATTTTATTTTTAAAAATTATTTAATTAAATAAAAAAAATTTCTCTCCTTTATATTTATTTATTTAAATGAAATTAATATTAATTCTTTTCTACCTTTCACTTCTCCTTCCTTTTCTTCCCTTTTTTCCTTTCCTTTTTTTTTTTTTTTTTTATCCAAATAAACTGTAATGGTAAGCAGAATAAGAACCCGTCTAACAGACTAAGAATCACATAGAAAGATAATTAATTACACTGGAACCAGGCTTGCTGGGAGCCATGGCCGACTGGTTGAGGTTCAACAACAAACAGAAAGATGCAAGCTTTGATCCCTCACAATTGCATCCCCATGAATATAAGCCACTAAATCATGGGGTCATCTGATCACATCTCATCTCTGCCTAGAGAGAAAGATACAGGGCGAAGTTAGGTGGAGTAGATGGACAAGCAGAGATCTTGCTAGATGCGGCCCATGTACATCATCATCAGTCCCAAAATCCGGTCCATCGTCGGGGTTCAGGGTTGTACTTGCAAACTGCAATCAGATCCTGACAAGTGGGAGAGCGTGTTACTTTGATTGGAGGGTGAGGAAAGGAGAAGAGACAGCAGGTCAGAATTGGGTGGTCAGATGTTGGCTGCTACCTGAAAAAAATTCCTTTGTTGCTGAAATGTAAACACTAAAACCATTTTAAGAATTGATTTATATTTTTTTCCATCGATGGCTCCCTTTATTTCCTGAATTGTGCGAATCGATTTACTCTCTTTATAGAGAAGAATTGGAATTTTGTTTTTTGAATTATGGCCACTAGTTCAAGATTCCCAAACCAACCCCAACAAGAAGGTTTGGTTGCTTTGTTTCATTTTATGTAGAATTGTCTATTGAAGAATTTTCAAAAATAATTTCAGGATTTGGGTTGAAAGTACAAAAAGTTGATTTAAAATAATTGTGCAAAATGTATTTGAAAAAGTATAATTTTGATTAAACTCATATAAATACGATTTAAACTATTAATTCAAAAGCTATGATTTTGATTTGAACCATTTACGTAAAAAATAAAAAATAGAATTATGATAAATTTCTTAAGAAAGAGTGGATAACTTTGAAAGGCAAAGAAATACATGAATTGAAATTCAGATTAAACCCGATGACTTTTAGAAGAGTTTCCAATTGATAAACTTAATTAAAAAGGAATGCATGTTCCAAACAGACATCTTATCCTTATAAATATGATGTTATCTTTTCTTCTTTTAAATCTCTTAAACACATAAACAAATTCTTATTATTATCTAAATAAAATAGCTTTTTTTTGTACTGCAATTACTATAGAAATCCCTATATAAAAACTATTATTTTGTTTCTTTCCAGAGGATAGTCCAATAGTTGATCTTGATAGTGC